TATTTATATTTTAGGGAAGGGTCTATAGGGTGTTCAGGGTCTCACACACTAATGATATATCTGTTTACAGCTTCCTAAGAGCTGGGATTACAGGTGCGTACCACCACGCCCAGTCTAAAGGTCTCCTTTTGTTTTTTTCTTTTTTGCGTTACTGGGGATTGAACTCAGGCCCCTGTGCTTGCCAGGCAAGTACTTATTCTACTGAGCTATCTCCCTGGCCCTAGCAGTATTTTATAACTATTTCAAGGTGGCTAGCAAAGAACACTGCAAATGTATGACACTTTTGAGGTTTTGATATGCCTGCCCTACTTGGGCTTCTGTTCAGTGTCTTTTTTTTTTTTTTTTAATTAAGATTTCCAAAGAAGATTTCATTGCATTAGGTACAGGATTTAATAAAAATTTTAGATAGAGTTGATATACAGAAGTATTATCAACTTTATTTATTTTTATTTTATTTTATTTTTTTTGGCGGAACCGGGGATTGAACTCAGGCCCTTACGCTTGCCAGGGAAGTGCTTATTCTACTGAGCCATCTCCCTGGCCCAGCTATCAACTTTAATGATTTTATTTTCCCTCTTTCATATGAAAACTTGAAAGAAAATCTCACTTTTTTAAAGAAAAAAAATTACTGAATACAGGGCCTCTCTGTGCAGTTCAGACTCATAGTGATCCTCCTGTCTCAACCTCCCCGCTGTGGGATTGTAGGAGTGCACCACCAGCCTGTTTTGGGGTCTGCATTGCATGTGGCACTGGGGATTTCAACTCATGTCTTTGTGCTTGCCAGGCAGGCACTTAGACTGCTAAGCTGTCTCCTCAGCCCCCGGCCTTTATTTTGAAATGAACATTGGACTAAAAATCATTCATGATTGTGTAGCTCTGCCAGTAGTTATTTATATCCTTTTAATGTATAGGGTTTCAATAACTTCATCTATTCAAGGAGGATATTTGATTATCTTAGGGTTTTCACAAGTCTTTATACTTTCTTGGTGTTATAGTCTGATTCATGAGGGATATGAGGAGAGAAAATGAAAGATGGAAGTTGACACTTTCAGGGCTTTCTCGAGACCTTTTCTTTTTTTTTTTTTTTTGGCAGAACCGGGGATTGAACTCAGGCCCTTGCACTTGCCGGGGAAGTGCTTATTCCATTGAGCCATCTCCCCGACCCCGAGACCTTTTCTTTAAAACAGCTCCACTTTTGATTTTATTTAACCATAAATGCTGAGATTTCCCAAAGGGTTTTATTGGAAAATTGCTAGTTGAGATGATCTGTGAGATTCATTCCCGTGCTAAATGTTTTTTAATTTTATTTTAACAATCCTCTTATAACTTTTTTATTTGTTTAGTACAGGGCCCACAGGGTCTCACTACACAGATTAGACTCATAGTGATCCTCCAGTTTGCAGCCTCCCAAGCGCTGGGATTATAGGTGTGTGCTACCACGCCCAGCACAACCGGCTCAGCATGCCCCAGGGGCAGGGCTGGCATGGCATGTGGTGCCTGGCTTGAACCCTGGCCCCTGCACTCTGCCTAAGCAGGTGCTTTAGTCCACTGAGCTATTAGTTGGGCCTCATAACTTTTTATAACTATTGCCGCTGAGTTTTTTGCAACACGGGCAGAACCCTTACTTTTCTATAGTAAGTCAGTCTTTGGAGAGGTGAGCAGACACTGTGAGGTGCCCACCTCTGAGCAGACGTCAGCTGTACTGGAGAGAACATGTGCAGCCTCACAGCTCTGGCATTTATTTTTCCCTAGGCCCTGCTCCCCACAAGAAGGTGGTTTAACACCATCCTGGATGACTCCCACCTTTTGGTTCACTGTTACCTTTCCAACCTTGTTCATAGGGAAGAAGATGGCCATCTTTTTTCCCAGGTGAGCACTGATGGATCTAAGAGCACTGATGTAGTTTCTAAGTTGATCTTCTCTTTGCCATGCAACTGTGAATATCAGGGCGTGAGGCCAAGTAAAGTTTTCTAAATATCAAATTGAGTGATGTAAATTCCTGATTATTCATCTTAAAATAATCAAACCTTACTACATAAAATGAGTATATTTTTGTACAGGTGGCCTCTACTAATTATATATTATAATCTTTTGTTATCTGTAATTGGTTTTATTATTGATCTAAGTTTATGATTTTGATGGTACAGTCTTATGTGTTCACAAATTTTGATTTATGTACTAAGTGATGTACTAATTGGCAGGTTGATTTTATCAGGTAAATGATAGACCATTTCTTAGCATTAAGAGAAAGAATATATTCATGAATAGTATACAGTAAGATTGGGCTTTAAAAAGTAATGTATTAAGTGTAATACATTTTTGAGTCTGGCTTACACATCTAATTTTCTTGACATACGGAATAACCACTCTGGATCCTGGGCAGGAATTTCAAGTGAACTCTACCCTATGTTTCCGTAACGTGTCAGTGACAGGCAACTGAGAGCATGGAAGTGTATGTGACTTTGCCAGCTGCTGTTGGGAAGAGAGCAGATGCACTTAATGTCATGCACAAGAGAACATGTAACAAATCAGTGGTTGCCTTTCAGTGAGATCCTAGCTGGAGAAGTAATTTCTGTGAACATATAGTCTCATATCTGTAAGCATTCCTCTTTTTCTTGTTCTCCCTTTAGATTTCTATCCAGTGATTTGCTATATCTATTGCGTATGTTAAAATCTTAATATCTGATCTGCCTTAGACTTGAACTAAAAATAATAAAGACTGGAATGAATGCAGCCAGTAGTCTCTGTTGATTGATGCTGCTGCCACACAGGAAAGCAAGGCCTTTCAGGCAGCAGGACGCAAGCTGAAGAAAGCCTTGATAACTAGGGAGGCATAAGGGAGGAATGAATAACTTACTGATTTTTCCCTAATAGAAGCCACATGTAGAAAAAAGTATTTCTAGTTGCAAATTTCAAAGCCCTCATTTAGAAAAGGTATTTAAGTGACATAAGTAAAGTGTTTTAGTTAGGCGTTCCCTCTAGTGATATAGGATTATAATTTTGCACTGATACTGAGATTTTTTTCCTTTCATTGAACTACTAGGCTTCTTTGGCTTATCTCCTTAATCTCTTAAAAGTATTGGATTGCTGTTAAAATTTTCTGTTGAAGTAGCCTATGCAGTATGTGTGTGTGTGTGTGTGTGTGTGTGTGAGTGTATATACATCTTTTTTTTTTTTTGTGGCCAGCTCTGCCCACCCTGGGGGCGGGGCTGGGGCTGGCATTGCATGTAGTGCCTGGGATCAAACAGTTGTTCCCTGCACATTTGCCTAAGCTTGCCTAAGCAGGCACTTCAGGCTGCTGAGCTATCTTTCCAGCCCCTGTGCACAGTATATTAAATAGACTTAACAATGTACTTGTAAGAAATATACTTTATTTTCATGTAAATTAAACATGTTTGGCTATATTTGAAGTATTTGTGGCAATTTTTGCATTCTTTTAGTACCTCTGAAGACGTATTGAAAAGAAGTTGTTCTATTATTTTTATGCTTTATTGGTCTTATGTTCACACAGTCTATTGGTTTCAATGTATCCTTTCAGCTTTTGGACATGCTTAAGTTCTATACTGGTTTTGAAATTAATGATCAAACTGGGAATGCCCTGACAGAGAACGAGATGACCACAATTCACTATGACAGAATTACTTCTTTACAGGTAATTAAAATGCGTGATAGCCTTTCTTAGGTTCCTAAGATTGGGTCATACTATAATGTGGGTTTTATGTAGATGCAGAGAAAAAATATTATTTTCAGAATTACCTTTTTTACCTTTAACTTTTTGTTTCAAATTCTGCAATTACTAAGTTAGAAAAAAGTTACTGCAAATACTATGTTAGTATACTAATATTTGATACTACTGAACTGGCCCAGTAATTAGTACTTCTGAGTAAGTTCTTTAGGTCCTGCCCTCTAGTCCATTTTATATCTCCAGTTATTGAAAGTATTGCAGCATAAGGCAAGAGGTATGTAAATATTTTAAGATACTTATGCACACTTTTAAGATAAGTACATTCAAATATAGCTTAAATATTTCACAATTACCTGCTTGTCTATTACTGGATTGTATCTTCAATTTCATTTCCTTTGATAGTGGAAAGAAGCTTTTGGTTATTAATTTAAAATAAGGGTTTTTTTTTTTTTTTTTATTAAGAGTCTTTTTTTTTTTTTTTTTTTGGTGGGTAAAGACTCAGTCAAAATTAAGTTGAACTCTCTTTTGTAATCATTGTTACCTCCGGAAATCTCTGTCTCTCTTTTTCTTCCCAAGTGGTGTCTCAGTGTACGTGGAGAACTCTAGAGACTCGCTTTTGGGGAAGAGGAATGAGCTCACGTTTCTTTTGCTTTTCTCAGAGCAGTAGAGTTTCGTCCTTTGGCCTGTGCTCATGAAATGACCCCAGCTGGTGTAGTGTGTGGTCTGCCCATCGGCACAGGCAGGGCAGAGTGATTTGTTTTCACTACTGACAGGCTGCAGCTTTGTCTTCTCTCTGTTTCTGGTTTAAGTCCTCACTCCCAGGCTGGATCGCAGGCTCAGTTTTGAGTGGTCTGCATTAAGCACATGGCAAGTTTGCCAATAAACTTGGTGACTTTCTTGGTTATAAATTGAGCATTTAAAAACTTTTAAATGTCTTTTCTGTAACATAGAGTGTGAAAGAAGAGCAGGAATGTTCCCTGACACTGTTAGCAAAACCCTATAGTATTGTTCTTCTGTGTTCTTGCTGCTTGTCCCATGGTCGTTGGCAGTGATGACCTGCTTTGGCTCATCTTCCAAGAATTCCAAACACAAGCAGACACAAAGATACTGTACGTTGGTCTCTTCTTAGGTTCTCCAGAAGGACTCTCTGGGGACTTACAGTCTTTTTATGCCAGTTCTTGATAATAATTTTTTTTTTTCTGTCTCGTTAATGACATTAGCATTTGTGGATATTTTCATATATGTTTCAAATTGGTTTTAGAAATAAACTGGATACTGACTTTTGCCTACTAGAATAGTTTGTGTTTTTTGCCCTTCTTTTGCTCACATGTGGCTGCACAAGACTGAGATCACAGAGACATGCAAAAGAGTAGTGCATTAATATTGTTGAATATATTATTTCTACTACACAGTGTATAAGTGGCAGATGGTTGTGGTAATATGTAAATAGTAATTATCAATGTCATCTGTTCTTTTCTAGAGAGCTGCTTTTGCACATTTCCCTGAACTCTATGATTTTGCCCTTTCAAATGTTGCAGAGGTAGACACTCGAGAATCGCTGGTCAAGTTTTTTGGACCTCTTAGGTAAGACAACATGAGCGAAAAGCTAGGTACTCCCTTAGGATCATGCTCCTTAAATTTTCTTGTAATTGTAGCTTCCATTCCTGTTTTGCGCTACTGATTACACGGTAGTGTTGCTTTGTTGTATTGCATTAACATCTAGAACTAGTACTTCTCTCTAGCACTTTGTTACCTTTGAGTCACTTAAATATAGTTATGCAACTTTTTTCCAACTTTTCTTAAGGGAGTTAAATTTATATTTTGCATAATTTATGTCATTTTCATTTTCTTTTTTCTTTTTTTTTTATGCCATTTTCTTAAATCCTACATTTTTCATAGAATAGAAATTAAACTGGTCAGTCCCATCAATCATAAATAAAATGAGACAGAAACCAATAAAGATTCGTCACGTGTGTGTGATTTGGGCAGTAGGCCTGTTAGTAAGCTGAAGTTTATACAGTTAGTAATATTCTGAACAACTTAGTTGTCTGCTAATGTACTTTTTTGAAGATAGTGGTATGAGGCAGTGTGTTGAGTATATAGTTAATCCTAAACAGATGTGCTAGAGCAAGCACTGTTTTACAAGAGTGGTAATGACATAGAATAGGTGAGTGACTTTCTGCAGAAAGATGGCTGGTCCTTTTGAATTAATTTGTATATACAGTGCTATGAGTGGTCAAGGCTCATACTTTGCATGTGCATATCCAATTCTTAGAACACCACGGTTGAAAAATGCAAAGTGAAGCAATGATTTTTCTGCCCATGGATTGGCAAAACATAAAGAATAATATACTTAGTGTTGGCAGAGAGAAAAATAAACCTTCACATCTTGTAGTTACAGGTATAAACCATTAGTCTTCTCTAAAGGAGTATGTAAGCCTAGGAGCTTACAGCTTCAGCTTTTCTATCCCTAGGAATAAGACAGCAATTTTATATAAAGGTAAAAATGGATACTCTTATAGTTTCAATATTGATTGATATTGTTTTAGCATAGGTGTTCACCACAGAACTCTAGATAAAGGCCAAAAATTTAAATTGAAGGCTTGGTCCCCAGCCCTAGGGCACCACGGTGAGGGATGGACCCTTTAGGATAGGGGACCTTGTGGAAGATGCTGCATCACTGTGGTGCACTCTGGAGGGGAGTGTGAGGAGCCTGGCCCTGCACAGTCTCCTCCTGCCCCTGCTTCTCCTTGCCCAGTTTCTCCTTCCCACCTTCCCCTCCTCTTCTTGTTCTGTGTGCCCTGCTCTCTCACCCTCTCTGCTGTGTGAGGACATGAAGAGTGCCACCTCCTTCCCAGGCATTTCTGCCAGCACTCACTGCTGTGTCACAGACCATGAGGCACTTGGGCCAGGCACCAGGGACCTCACACAGTGCCTAAAGAAATCTTCCCTTGTGTTAGTGGAGTCATCTTAGGTATTTGCTCACTGCAGAATTCTTGATCATCACCAGTATTTAAATTAAATATTCATTAGTTGGAGAACAATTAAAAAGATAGTAGGAGTTTTGTGCAGTTCCTTAAAAGAGTGAAATGTATCTTTAGTTATTATAATAAATACAATTAAATTCTCATATAAAAATGAACAACCTTACCAGGCTCAATTTGTTTTACTTTAAGTAGAAAATGAATTAAACAGTTTTCCTGGGTGTTGGGAATTGAAAATGGAATAACCATGTTGGAAAAATTTGACATTTTTTTTTTAACCCTGCACTTAAGGTCTAATAAAGATATGCCTAGGAGAAATGAAAATACATTTTCACACAAAAATCTCCAAAACTGTTTACAATAGTTTTATTTATAATTGTCAAAAAGTAGAATACATAAGTATTCTTTAAATGGTGAATAAATAATGTTATATCCATGCAGTAGTGTACTACTGAGCATTATGAAGAAACAGAGTACAGCATTTATGATATGGAATAGTGCTGGGGGATGTAGCTCAGTGGCGTAAGTGCATGCCTGGCAAAAGCAGAGTCCCAAGTTCGAGGCCCAGTACTCCCCCCCCCCAAAAAAAAAGCGTTTGCAGATAAGGAATAATGCTGCATCTAGGCCCAAAAGCTATCACATGTGTGATCCGTTTAACCTTCTGAGAAAGACAAAATTACAGATTAAAACAGGTAAATAAAACCAAGTGTGTATACAACTGTACATAAAAGTAGCTGGTATTAGTTAAGCCTGTGTTAACAGTTTGGATTTTTTTTTCACTTGTGCATTTGGGACTTTTTTCTTTTGGTTGATTAAGGCTGCAAATGCTACATGTGTGAATGAAAAAAAAACCAAGTGTGGTGGTGCATGCCTGTAATCCCAGTACTTCGGAGGCTGAGACTGGAGGATCACTAGGAGTCTGAGCTGAATAGGTAGACTCTACCAAATAAATAAATAAATAAATAAATAAATAAATAAATAAATGATTTAAAAAAATAGATAAGCAGTTACCTGGGGCTAGAATGGAGAAGAAGCTTGCTTTAAAATAAGATGATTAGAGCTTTTTAAGTAGTAAAGAGTAGTAGGTACGTAGTTAAAACCTCAAATTCAGAAAAGTGAATGCAGGTTTTTTTTTGTTGTTGTTGTTTGTTTTTTTCTGGAACCGGGGATTGAACTCAGGCCCTTGAGCTTTCCAGAGAAGCGCTTATTCCACTGAGCCATCTGCCCAGCCCCTAGGCTTTTAAAATTTTATTATTATTTTTTTTTTAATTTTTTTTATTTGTGTGTGTGTGTGTGTGTGTGTGTGTGTGTGGCCAGCTCAGCCCACCAGGGGGCGGGGCTGGCTGGCATGTGGTGCTGGGGGATTGAACCGCGGTCCCTGTGGTGCTTTGCTAAGCTTGTTCTAAGTAGGTGCTTTAGACCACTGAGCCATCTCACCAGCCCTAGGTTTTTTAAATTTTAAATTCCAGTTTTTCACTTGGCGATAAATGCTGATTGTTGTCTTCCTTGTTTGTAGTTACAGGCTTATTTCATTTAAATCTGAAAAAACTGCTATTCATTCAGAACCAAATATGCGTAGTTTGTCATTCTTTCAAGTGAAAATTGTGTGCATAGTGTACTTCTTCCTCACACAGACTTAAAAAATGATATTCAAAATTACAAGTTCAGTGAGTTTTTAAGGCTTCATCTAGGACATTCTTAAATAAAACTGGTTGTTTTAAAAAAATATATGGAAATGAATTCTCTGACTGCTGTTAGCGCAGGCTGGTGCCGCCATTGCTTTCATACTGTCACAGTGTAAACATAAGGACAGTGAAAAAACGAACATTAAAACCACATTCTTACAGATTCCACGAAAAATTTTCAGATACCACCGAAGGTTTAGAAAAAGTACTTTGAAAACTATGCATTAAAAGATTTTCATTGCTAATTTTTGATACTTTCTGTCCATATCATAGGGATTATATTTACTTTTTAAGATACCTGCAAAAATGTGTTTCAAAAAGGAGGTTGCTCTGTGTTCTTCTTCCTGCAGTTCAAACACACTCCATGAGGTGGCATCATACCTCTGCTTGTTGCCTACCCTTCCTAAAAATGAAGACACAACTTTTGATAAAGAATTTCTTCTAGAATTGCTGGTAAATATTAATTTTCACTGTACTTTTTTCATGTGGCCTTGTTTGCCTTTTTGAATCATTCATAACAGTCTGGTTTGTTACAGATTTCTTCTAGACAAAAGTTTGGGTAGTTAATTGTGGCCTATTTTTGGAATTTATTATCATTTGATTTTTGTCTGATGTGGTTTTTCAACTCTTGAATTGCTTCTCCCAAGTCTTTCATCTTTTAAAACAGCTTTACAGTAAGAATTCATTATATGACGAGCATTCCGAGCAGCTTGCTTTGCAAACACTGGGTTCATGCAGCAGCACAGCACAGGTGCTTGGTGTCATGCTTTCTTTTAGGTCATGATTAAATGCACATAGTATACACATGTGACTTTACATATACATTCATATAGTTCATTTTTTGAAATGTGTATGAGGGGCCAGGGAGATAGCTCAGTGGAATAAGCACTTGCCTGGCAAGCG